TTCTTGTGTATATAATTGCTATAGATTTTTGGATGTTGATTTTCCAATTGTCCTGACAGTTTATTGTATTCATTTATTACTTGGAGAAGTTTTTTCATGGGAACCTTTGGTTCCTCTAAGTATACCATCATGTCATCTTCAAATAGAAATATTTTCAACTTTTATTTGCCTATTCAAATGCCTTTTATATTATTCTTTTTTCTGATTACATTGGCTAAGACTTCCAGCAGTATATTGAAAAGGAGTAGAGAAACTGGGCAGGCTTGTCTATTACCAGTTTTTAGTGTAATAGCTTTTAGCTTTTCCCCATTCAGTGTAGTGTTAGCTATAGGTTTTTCATAGATGGCTTTTATTGTGTTGAGAAATGACCTTCTATACCAATGTTGCTGAGTCTTAATCATGAAGGGATGTTGTATTTTTTCAAATGCTTCTTCCGCATCAGTTGAAATGATCATGTGGGTTTTATCTTTATTTCTGTTAATATGGTTATTATATTTATGGTCTTGCATATGTTGAACCACCCTTGCATCCCTGGAATAAAGCCCACCTGGTTGTGATGAATAATCATTTTTATATGTTGTTGGATACGATTTGCAAGTATCTTGTTGAGAACTTTTGCATCTATATCCATCAGAGTTATTGGTCTGCTCTTTTCCTTTTTCATTATGTCTTTATCTGTTTTGGGAATGAGGATGATAGAGGTTTCATAAAATGAATTTGAGAAGATTCCTTCCTTTTGGGCCTTTAGAAATAATTTGAGTAAAATGGGGGTTAACTCTTCCTTAAAAGTTTTGTAGAATTCAGAAGTGAAGTCATCAGGACCTGGGCTTTTCTTTGTTGCGAGGTTATTTATTACTGATTTAATCTCATGACTTGTAATGTGACTATTCAGGTTTTCTATGTCCTCCTGATCAATCTGGTAGATTATATGCATCCAGGAATTTGTCCATCTCATCCATGTTCTCATTTGTTGACACATAGTATCCTCTAATGATGTTTTGTGTTTCTATTGTATCTGTTGTAATGTTGACTGTTTCATTACATATTTGATTTATCTGATATCTTTCTTCTTCATCAATCTAGTTAATGGTTTGTCTATCTTGTTCATCTTTTCAGAGAACCAGCTTTGCTTCCATTTATTTTCTGTATAGTTCATTTATTTTCTATTTCATTTATTTCTGCTCGAATCTTTATTATTATTTTTTTCACCTGGCAGGGTTGTTTTTTTTTTTTTTTTTTTTTTTTTTTTTTTTTTTTGGGGGTTTTCTTTTTTTTTTTTTCTATAATGTCCATTTGCCACCTTTCCATCTTTTTCTTATGTGCACTAATAGCTATGAATTTCCCTCTTATGATTGCTTTTGCAGTGGCCCATAGATTATGGGAACTCATGTACTCATTATCATTTGTTTTCATAATTTTTTTGATTTCAGACTTATTTCTTTGGTATTTAAGAAGTCATTTAGAAGTAGGTTGTTTGGGGACCAGCAGGTGGCTTGGTGGTTAGGGTGCTGGACACTCCCACATGGCTGACCGTGATTCTGGATCTAGACCCGGTGGCTTACTTTCTTGTTTTTCTTCTCTCTCTCTCTGGTCAAATTAAAAATAGATGAATGAATAAGTAAAAATTAAATAAATAATTCTTAAACAAAAAAGAGAAGTAGGTCATTTAGTTTCCATGTGTTTGTGTATTTTCAAGGATTTTTCTTTAAATTAATATCAAGTTTCAATTCCATCATGGTCAGAGAATGTACTGGACATAGTTTCTATGCCTTCGAATCTGTAAAGGCTTGATTTGTGTCCTGTCATACAGTCAGTCTTTGAAAAGGTTCCATGTGGGGGTGAGAAAAATGTGTATTTTTGTGGTGTTAGGATGGAAAGTTCCATAGATATCTGTCAAGCCCATTTGATTTATAGTATCATTTAGGTACTGTATCTCTCTGCCTATTTTTTTTTATCTAGAGGATCTGTCTAAAGGAGATAAAGGGGTGTTGAGATCTACAACAATTATAGTGTTGCAGTCTCTCTCTTCTTTTAGCTCTAGCAGTCTTTCCTTCATGCATTTAGGCGCTCCTGAGTTGGGTGCATAGATATTTATAAGCGTTATGTCTTCTTGTTGAATTAGCCCATTTCCTACTATATAATGCCCTTCTTTGTCTCCTCTTCCTTTTTTTTTTTTGGAGAGGTTTTTGCTATAGGGCGTGTGCGCTTGCCAGACAGACAGAGAGGGACAGAGAGACAGAAAGCAAGAAATCACCCCCCCAGGGGTGATGGCCATGCCGCAGTTCCTTCTCTTCTATTCTCCTCTTGGGGTCTTGGGCACACACGCACACATGCCTGGCGTGAGTTTAAGCCACTGGGTCCAGGCCTCAAACCATGATCGACTACATGAGAGTCCAGTGACATAGCCATTACGTCAACTGCTGGTCCCTCTTTGTCTCTTCTTATAGTTTTTGTCTTAAAGCTTATTTTATCTGAAAACAGAATTGCAACTCCAGCCTTTCTTGATTTCCATTTGCATGGAATATCTTTTTCTAGCCCTTCACTTATAGTCTATGTGTCTTTATCCGTCAGGTGCATTTATTGTAGGCAACAGATAGAGGGTTCATGTTTTTTAATCCTTTCAGCCAGTCTTTGGCTCTTGATTGGAAAATTTAATCCATTAACGTTCAATGTTATTATCAATATTTCTGGACATGTTCCTATCATTAAGTGAGCCATTTTCTAGGTTGTTTTTTGTTCTCTTATAGCTATCTGTCTGACTTTTTAGTTTTCCTTGTGTTGTGCTCCCTTCAGAACTTCTGAAGAACTGGTCTGAATTTACCAACCCAGTTTTCAGGTTTTGTTTATCTGAGAATATTTTAATCTTTTTCTTTTTTTCCATATGAAGGATAATCTTGCCAGGCATAGTGTTCTTGGTTGAAACTGACTTTCATTTAACATTTTGACTATATTTCCCTATTCTTTTTTTGCCTGCATTGTTTCTGATGAGAGGTCCGGTGTTAGCCTAATGGAATAACCTTTGCAAGTAACTTGATGTTTCTCTCTTGCCAATTTTAGTATCTTGTCTTTGTCTATGGTTTTGGCCAATCTGACTATGATGTGCCTTGGATAAGATCTTCTTGGATTGATTCTATTTGGGGTCCTATGTGTTTCTTGGGTCTGGATATTTGAATGCCTCTCTAGGTTTGAAAAGTTTTCTTTCAGAATTTCATGGAATAAATTATGAATGCCTTTGTTATTTTCTTTCCCTTCTGGGATACCAATTATCCAGATGTTTGGGCACTTGATGGTATCTAATATTTCTCATATATTGCCCTCGTTTTTCTTGGTTGTTTTCTCAGTCTTTTTGATAATTTTTTCTAGGTCAGAGTTTTTGTCTTCTACATTTGAGATTCGATTTTCTGCATGATCTAATCTACTTTTTAATACTTTCAAGAGAAGTTTTAATTTCCTGTGTTACATTCTTTATCTCCGTTTGATTCTTTTTCATGGTATCTACTTCTTTCAAATCATGAATGGACTTCCTCATCTCCTGGAGCTTGTTGTCTTTTTTCTCTTGCATCTCATCTAGTTTTGTCACTATAAATATTCTGAATTGTTTATCCAACATTTCAAGTTCCACTGTGTTGTCTGTGAGTGTTGAGGAATTGATGTTTTCCCTTGGGGAAGAGACATTTTGCTGGTTGTTCATATTTCTTCTAGTCATTTGGTGATCTATACATTTCTTTCTAAATTCTTCGAGGTATCTCTGAGAGTAGGCAATTGGTCATCTCTCTTCTGTTCTACCTACCAAGTTGCTCACAAGCACTTTGCACTGTTGTCACTGGTCCTGGATGACCCAAATTCCTCCCTGTTTCTAGAGAACAGGTGCTCCTGAAACTGAGCTGCTGTGCTTCAGTTCAGGAACAAAGAAGAGAGCACTTGCAGGTGTGCTGAAATCCTGAGAGTCCAAAGGCAAGAGGGGGAGGAAATAAGTCAAGGGTCTCAGCTATAAAGCTTTCTAGCCACAGGTGGCCTGCCTTATGGCAAGGCCCTTCACTGGAACAGATGTCTGGATGGGGTGGGGAGGGGCACAGGATCAACTCAAGGTTCTAAGCAACACACTTGAGGGTCGAAAGGTGAGTTGGGGTGGTGGGGTGCCCAGCCTGATTTTATTTTTGGAGAGGTTTTTGCTACAGGGTGTGTGCGCTTGCCAGAAAGACAGAGGGAGACAGAGAGACAGAAAGTGAGAAATCACCCCTCCAGGGGGTATGGCCACGCCACAATCCCTTCTCCTCCATTCTCCTCTTGGGATCTTGGGCACACACGCACAGGTGTCCGGCGTGAGTTTAAGCCACTGGGTCCGGGACTCGAACTGCGGTCAACTACATGGGAGTCCAGCGACATAGCCATTACACTAACTGCTGGTCCCTCAGCCTGATTTTCAAGCCGCTGGTCTAGCACTGAAACTGTGGTTGGTCACGTGGGGATCCAACGCCTTAACCACTACACCTGGATGGCCCCTTTGCTTTTAATAGGAGTCATCCATCTTCTCCTTTCTGCTTCCACAGTAATTGCAGTTAAGTAGCAGAATAAGACAAAGACAGGTACTGAAATATGAAAGTGTGTGTGTCAGTGTTCTATTCACAACTTCCATTAGGTATGTTTGGATTGATATTAAGAGGTTTTTAACACCATCCTTTTCTTTCTTTAATTGCTAGCGATACTTATGGAAAGCAGATTTTTCTTAGATTTTACCTAGAATTTCTGTGATATCCCCTCCTTGATTATTTTCTTATTAACTCAGCTATTAGGTTTACTTATTTTTCAAATAATTGGTACAAGTTGACATTATTGTTATAGCCGTATCACCACTTAACCAAGTTATTTTTGTTTTATCTTTTAATGATTTTCTTTGTACATTGAATAAACTTCTTAATTTGGAAAAATTATGCAACTAGTATAGAAAAATTTAAAGTCTTCGGAAATTAGTCTGATGGCTCTACTTTATTTCATTTCAGATATATTTTTGCCATCATGGATCGATTTGGAGATATATCAGAAGGTGAAGTGGACCATTCTTTCTTTGATAGTGACTTCGAAGAAGCAAAGAAATGTGAAAGTAACTCAGCTTTTGACAAGCAAAATGATGACCCCAAAGAGACAATAGACAAAGATACAGAAAATGTAAATTTGAAACTTAAATCCCCAACAAAGGAAAATTATCTTACCGAGGAGGGAAATGAAAGAAAAACAAAAATCCCTCCGGAAGACCTCCCTGTAGAGAATGATGCTATTCAAACCAAAAGTTCTTTATCGGTGACCACCACTTCAAGATCCAAAAAATTGCATGATGGTACAACAGCACATAAAATACACTTGCCCATTCCAAGTAGAAGTCCTAGAAGTGTTAAAGGTGGGGACGATTACTCTACAGATGGAGAAGAAAGCAGTGATGATGAGAAAAGGCATCATGTGAGGCCCAAGTCAGCTAAACCATCCAATAACTTTAAAAAAAGCCTAAGTAAAAAGTATTCTAAAATTAGTTCCTCTTCCTCCTCCTCTTTGTCTTCTTCATCTTCAAGTTCAGGTACTGATTGTTCAGATGCAGGATCTGATAGCTGTATATCTGATTCGTCTCCATCATCAGAGAAGCATGTATCTGATACAACCCTCTTATCACCAAAACCAAAATATAAATCAGGAATAAAACTGACAGGAACACAACTGTCAAATACTAAACCAAAAACGAGTGACTACACTGAGGAATCTGAAGACACTGTGACAGATGTAACTCCTTTATCGACTCCAGACATCAGTCCTGTTCAGTCCTTTGAACTGGGCATATCAGATGACCAAAAAGTAAAAGTTAAAAAGCAAGAGAACGTGAGTCAAGAAGTATATGAAGATGTCGAGGATTTAAAAGATAATTCAAAACATTTGAAATCAGCCAAAAAAGGGAAAGATAAAAATGGGCCACATCTCGCCTCAAAGTCTTCAGTGTTAGATTCTAGTTTAGACCACAGATATAAACAGAAAGTCTTACATGACACAATGGACCTGAATCATCTTTTGAAAGGTAATGTTTGAAATATTTGATTAATTCTTTATGTAAAATCTCTCATTCTTTACCATGTTTTCCAGTGTAACAGTGTTTACTTTAAAATTAATCATTATGGCCACTTTCTAGTCCATACATTCGTGTATTAGGCTGCGTTATATGATTCATAGGTTAGTGATTCATCGGTTGAAGACCACATCTGTCATCTCTTTGGGGTTTCCAGTACACACTTCAGTGTTCTAGTATAACAGGTTATGAACTCTTTGGTCTTAGGACCTTTTTTCATTCTTAAAAATTATTGAGGACTGTGAAGAGCTTTTTATATATAATAACTTAGAGCTTATATCTATAAATATTTACACATTCGAATATTTATAAATATAAGAAATTAAAACTGAGAGTCAGCTCGTGGCATGGTGGTTAAGGTATGGCCTCCATGCAGTTTGGCCCTTGGACCTGGTAGCTGGAGTAATGTGCTGGGCACCTATGCCCAAAAGGAGGGAGAAGAGATTGCAATGTGGCCATTCCCCTGCTTTCTCACTTTCCTTTTCTTTCCCTCTGGCAAAATTTAAAAACAACAAAATGAACCTAAATAGATTTGCTTGTTTTTTTGTGTGGCATCTTTTGACTATTGCATTGCTCTTTTCATAATAATTTTCTACTCTGATCAATATGTGTTTAAAAGTAGCATCCTAACATTTGGCATTATCAAGCATCTTATAAAATTACATGGAAAAAAAAGAAATAGACATTGAAAAGATGTCACCTTTAGGTTTTAGTTTTTAAAATGTAGTCTTGACTAAATTATGATTTTTGCAATTTCATAATATTAAGAGCCCACTGTCTGTTTTTAAATTTGATGAGTACTGTTCGATTCCACAGATAAGCACCATTGTATCTAGATATGAGAACAAAAGGTGACACAAAAGAAGAAAGTGTAGTCCCAGTCACTTGAAAACTTCTTTTAGGGGGACCAGCAGTTAGCATAATGGCTATGTTGCTGGACTCCCATGTAGTCGACCGCGGTTCAAGTCCTGGACCCGGTGGCTTAAACTCACACCGGGTGCATGTGCGTACATGCCCAAGAGAAGAATGTAGTAGAAGGGATTGCGGCATGGCCATCCCCCCTGGGGGGTGATTTCTCATTTTCTGTCTCTCTGTTTCTCTCTCTCTTTCTGGCAAGTGCACGTGCCCTATAGCAAAAACCTCTCCAAAAAACCACTTCTTTTAGGAAGGAAACACTTGACTTTTGGAATTCTCAAATTTTAAAAATAGTGAAAATAGCTTTGGGTTAGCCAGTGGTGTGGTGGTTAAGATGGCTAGATCCTAAATGGCTGACTGCAAGTTCTCATCCCAACTTAGTACCTTGGAAAACACAGTAGGCACATGCATGTGTGCCCAAAATCCAAAATCCCAAGAGGAGAATGGAGGAGAAGGGATTGTGGTGTTGCCATCCCTCCTGGGGGTTGGGGTGGGGGGAAACTTTCTCTCCCTCTGTTAAACTCTTCTCCCTCCACCGCAGCCTTCCCCTGTTCCTTGGCAAGCACACATACTCTATAGCAAATTAAAAATAATAACAAGAACTGTCACTGGAATAAACCCCATTTTAAAGAAGAAGCCTGTTGGGACCAGCAGTTAGTGTAATGGCTATGTCGCTGGACTCCCATGTAGTCGAATGCGGTTTGCGTCCCGGACCCAGTGGCTTAAAACTACGCTGGGCGCGTGTGCATGCGTGCCCAAGATCCCGGGAGGATAATGGAGGAGAAGGGATTGTGGTGTGGCCATCCCCCCTGGGGAGGGATTTCTCACTTTCTGTCTCTCTGTCTCTCTCTGTCTGTCTGGCAAGCGCACGCGCCCTATAGCAAAAACCTCTCTAAAAAAAAAAGAAAGAAAAAACCTGTCATTCTTGAGCTTTTTGTTCAGGGCTGTTTTTTTTTTGTTGTTGTTGTTTGTTTGTTTGTTGTTTTCTTTTTTTTTGTATTAGTCGGGATGATTATGATAAGAAACAGAAATGCCCAGTTAAATAGTATAGTGAGAAGCCCAAAGATAGATTGGGCTTCGTTGTTGATTCTGTGGCCCAAAAATGTCACTGGGGACCTACGTTCTACCACTCTGTTCCTTTAGCCCTTTTGTTGGCTTCACTCTTAGGCTGGTAGGAGATATCTGCAGCAATGGGCAGTATTCACATCCAGACATGACAGTATCCAGAGAAAAAGAAATCATTCCTCTGACTCTGAATGGAGGGGAGTTTTTAAAGAAGCACTCTCCTTTGACCTCAGTCTGTCTTACGGTCCAGAATTGGGTTACAACTCTTTCTGAACCAGCCATTAGTGAGGGGAATGGGAGACTGACTCTGGAATTTGAGGTTAGAGTTGAGGAGTAGAGGGCAAGGGAATCAGCCTCCCTTGTAGTCATGGCTTCACAGGAAAGGAAGGATGGGTGTCTAAATTAGTCTGTCAGCGACTCAGTCAGGGATCTGCTAAGGAGGAAGGTAGGAATATGTGCTAATTGAGTAGCCAGCTCTTTTCACTTAAGCTTCTGAAGCTTTAATATGCATAGAAGTGACCAGAGGATCCTGCTAAAATGTAAATTCTGATTCAGCAGTGGTGATACTGGTATTGCTGATTAAGGACCATAGTCCAAATAGCAAGATGCAACTGTTTGATTCCTTTGAAAATACAGGCATACCTCATTTCTACTCTTGTTCAGTCCATTTTCGAAACTTGGTTGGATGTAGAGAACCTATGCATTTTCAAGTTTTAGGTGGAAAAATTGTCTTAGCCCAAATTCCTGAGCAGTTTCCCCAGCTATAATTAAATGGAAATACTGTTGAAAAACATTCAACACAAAGCTGAACTACAGCATAGACAGAAAGCTTCATTCATGTCACTGCTCAGTAGGGAGGCCCTCCTCTAAGAGACTTGCCAGTGAGAGGTGCTGGGGCCTTTTAAGGCACAGGAACAAAGGTGGCATTTTGCCAGTTGGCTCATGTAGTTGTGGAGTCCATAACAAAGCCATGCACTAAGGATTCTTTAGGATAATAAAGTATTTTAAATATTAATTGTGACAACCAGTTCATTACAAGGTATTGCTTTAGTTTTTCAAGATTATTGTTGCTTTATTTACAAAATTATTCATGCTTGGTACATTGTAGCTTTTCAGAGCCAAGAATATGTTCATGAGTTTTCTTTTTCCCCTTCTAAGTGCGGTTGTGGTAGATGGAGGTGTGTGCATGGCCAGATACGATGCCCTTTCTACATTCATCTTTCAGTGTACTTGGTCATTTTTTTTCCCTTCGTTAATATTTTACAGAAATATTTTTGCTCTATTCATAATGTAGCACGTGCACACACGCAAGAGAGAGAGAGTGAGTAGGACCAGCAGATGGTGTAGTGGTTATGTTGTTGGACTCTCACGTAGTCAACCACGGTTCGAATCCCAGACCCATTGGCTCATGTCGGGTGCTTGTGTGTGTGTGTGCCCCAAATCCCGAGAGGAGAATGAAGGAGAAGGTATTACAGTGTGGACATCCCCTCCCCCAGGAAATCTTTGTGTCTTTGGCGAGTACACATGATCTATAGCAAAAATCTCTCAAAAAAAAAAAAAAGAAAGACGAGAGAGAGAGAGAGAGAGAGAGCTGTGAGCATCCTCCACAGGATCTGGTCATGGTTTAATCCCCTTTGTCTAGTCATACAACCCATTGGATGCTGGGTAATTGTACACATGTCTGCCGTGTCTGTGCTGACTGGGCCAGGGATTTGAACTGCAGTCGTCACATGGAAAATGACCAATATCTGACATGGTAAATATTGATAAATGTAACCCACATAAACAGAAATGCATAGCCTTAAAATTTACCACATGGATTAGGTGTGAAATAGTCACACTGAGATGTGTCTTGAGAATAAAAATTAATGTAAGAGAAAGAAATGGGATTAAGGAAGAAATTGAGCAAAGAAACTGGTTAGATTTTTTGTCTGTTTTTAGTAAAATTATACCAACATAGGCTAAGGGAAGGATCTTGTTCAAGCAGAAGGTACAGACCCTGTTACACTCCACAAAAAAAGAGGACTCCTCTACTGAGATTGGCTACGAGCACCTCCTACCTGGCAGCACACTTTAGTCCTTCTTACTGGCAAATGGCAGGTCTTTGCCCTCAGCCCACTGTCATACATTTCCAAACATTTGAGGAAAGCTAAAACAACACAGTGAGGCACCGCACTCATAGATAAGGAATGTAATATATTTAAAACTGTTAAAGGAGCACCTCAACCCAGCCTTGTGGTACAGGCGATAGTGTGCTGTACTGCAGTGCTGGAAGTGTGTGGACAGATGTGGGTTTAGATCCCTGGTTGACTTGGGATGTGACAGGTGCACACGTGCATGGGTGCCCAAGATCCTGATGAGTAGAAGCGCTGGGAAAATACCCTGTGGAAGGTACCTGTGTGTCTTATCTCTCATGCATGTATACACTCTCTATAATGAACAAAACATAAAAAATTAAGGTGGAAGACCTAGAATAGAAACCTGGTTTCACTAAAAAAAAAAAAAAAAAAAAAAAAAAAGAAGAAGAAGAGTATTGCAGTGATTTTAGAAAGGATCTGTAAGAATGAAACTTTTTTCCCTAATAAAACAAGCCTGGATGTGCGTTTCCATCTTCTCCCTCTGCCATGTGTACAGTGGAGTTTCCAGGGACTGCCCGGCAATAGCAACACAACAGTGCAGAAGCAGCTGTGAGAACCCAGCTGTCACACAGGAAGCCAGGCCTTACAGAATGTACAGAACTGTTCAACTCTGCTGCTCATTAATTTTTTAAAAAAATAAATATGTTAACATATAATTGGTGTCTTGTGTTCTGACATGGTAAATATTGATCGATGCATGCTATTTATTGACAGTCTTTGATGCTCTCAATCTTTTATTTTTTAAAGAATTTAATTTTATTATTTTTAAATTTTTCTATAGGGTGCATTTACTCATGAGAGAGAGAAAGTGATAAAGCAGATCGCCAGGTCTGA